TAGGGCTCGTGTGGAGTAAATTTACACGAGGAACCAATGTCGGTTTGAAGATGTGACCCTTATACATTCTACTATTACTAGTAGGCGAATGCATGCATTTTTGGCGAGCGGAAGCGAGCTTACAAATGGGGTCTAATCGTATGAGTCACTCTTGTGTGTGCACAAAACAGTGAGATACATTGCGTAGCAGCTGTAGGCGGGCCTCTCGCCTCACTGGACTCGGCAGCAATTTGGCGCTTTGAAGCTGTTGGAGCCTGGCCTGATGTGCTTCCTCGGATTCTGCACCGCGTCTAGCTCCTGATCGTACACGACCTCTCGCTAGTCGCGCTTCCCTTTCCTCCGCTGTTTCTGTTGCCCGGCGTTGCCTTGCCCGTTCCCGATCACGCAATCGGCGTTGAGAAAAGCCGAGCTTCTCTCTGCTCAGGAGTCTCACTGGCGCGACGTTCTCTTTCCCTCTCTCGTCGACGACGAAGAGCATCTTCTCTAGACCGATCCATAACTCTTTCCCTTTCCTCACACGCTCACAGATTATCAGGGGTGGAGCCTCCTGAGGGGTAGGCGACGTATGTAGTACGCGACGACGTATATACGGTGACATGCGCAGTTCGGCGACGTACATGACATCTAATTATATATATACTCCACACAAGCCCTATCTTGTCGCCCCTGTTACTCATGACATGAGTTTTGAATAGTGTAGTGTGAAGACTGGCAAACGAATTCTGTAGGGAAAGCAGCATTGTAAGACCGGTTAGTTGAGCGAACATTGAAGTAAACAAAGTCACGATTCAAAACTGAGGACCTGTCAGAGAGGGCGTTTGCTACAATTCTTACGTGCATAGGAAACGAGTCATAGCTGCACATCATACGATAGATATCACTCGTGCTTTGCGACAATATAGGGCTTGTGTGGAGTAAAATTTACATGAGCAAGAAATGTCAGTTTGAAGATGTAACAATCATCCCATTGTACTACTGCATGACATGCCCAGGTCACCCCTGTCTTGTCTCCTTGCTTTTTTATGGCATCCCTATATTCCACACTTTTTTATTCGCTATTTTTATTTACTTGTCTCCTTTCCTTTTTTACGATGCACATACATTGGGGCATAATGTCCATATAAAAAGTAACATGTATCTATTGCCTCGGACTGTTAGTCGTCATCTACATTTTTATTTCACTTCCAAAGTAGATAAGTATACAAGTTATATGGAAAAACAGCACTTAATTGCCTGAGGCTGTGTGTTGTTATGTTTACACTGTAATTGAACTCTTATCATTGTAAATCGTGTAGATACCACGTCCTTGCTTAGAGACCACAAGAAGCAGTTACAGGCGACCCAAACTTCATTTACAAGTATTTATTGCCTGGGGCTGAGGTGCAGAGAGAGGCCTGGTGCGGATGACTAGAGCGGGTGCTACAGGTCTCGATGCATGTGACGTGAATATTCTCTCTGCTGACTTATGCTGTCTCCTGCTCCCCTTGCTGCGGCATGCCTCTTGCTGCATTGAGGGAGGAGCGAGGTAGAAGAGGTGGGAGGGGGGGGGAGAGAGTGAGAAGAAGGAGAAGGAGGAGGGGCCGGCAGGGGGGGTGAAAGGGAGGGGGAAGGGTAGTAGGAAGGAGAAGAGGGGAAGGGGGTGGGGGGGCGTGGAGGGGGAGGATGAGGTCGCTGGGTCACAAGCGGCCTTGGACTAGGACGGCTGGCCCATCCGTGTCACGATGCCGGCCCTAGTCTGCTCTTGGCTCCCTTGTATCTCCTGCTCCTGTGAGGCTATTTGTTATTGTTTACTAACTTGTAATTTCTGTTTCGATGAACTCATCGTTGTAAACCAGTGTATATACCAAGTTTCATTGTTAGATGACCCACTATAAGCAAGTTACAGGCACAAACAAATATTTATTGCCTGAGGCTATTTGTTGTTGTTTACAAAATATTTCAATCAACTTTCATCGTTGTAAATTAGTGTACCAAGTTTAGTTGTTAGAGGACCCACAATAAGCAAGTTATAGGCACAAACATCATTTTACTGCCTGAGGCTGTTTGTTGTTGTTTACAAACTTGTAATTTCTATTACGATCAACTCCCACCATGGTACATCAGTGTACCAAGTTTCATTGTTAGAGGACCCACAATATGTAAGTTATAGGCACAAACATCAGTTACAAGTATTCATTGCCTGAGGCTGTTTGTTGTTGTTTACAAACTTGTAGTTTCTGTTTCGATGAACTCTCATCATGGTACATCAATGTACCAAGTTTCATTGTTAGAGGACCCACTATAAACAAGTTATAGGCACAAACATAATTTTACAAGTTTTATTGCCTGAGGCTGTTTGTTGCTGTTTACAAACTTGTACATTTTGATACTAATGATGGGTTGCATGTGTGTGCAAAGTTTTATCACTCTGGGTATTAGCTTTATCCAGTTAGCACACTTTATTTGTCTCTATAATAAGGGCTATTTGTTGTTGTTTACATGTAAAAAAAATTGTTTATGAACAAATAAAAAAATGTTTCTTGCACGACCTTCATAGATTCCAATCTTTGTGCAAAGTTTGATCTCTATATCTTACCTGATACGCTTGTTGAAACTGAACAACAACAACAACAACAACAAGAAGAAGAAAATTGAAAAGTGACTTTTTTGAATAAATAAGCGATACAAGCTATTTGTTGGATACATGCTCTTTGTGACGATACAAAATAGTCTGAAGTGTCAAAAATTGGATCTGATTTAAAGATAAAGTGAAACATGAAAATCTCAATGTATGGAGGACAACCTGTGTCATCCCTATATACAAGTACTATACCGTACTTAGTGATCAAAGCCATCCTTCAAATGTCAGACTTTAGTCTACCATTTAGGGAATACATGGTTACTTTAAAGTGATAGACACCTAACCCAGACCGGCCCTTAAAATATAGGGAAGGATGTTGGCCTAAACCACACTATGTGTGTACTGATAAGCAAAGACCATAAAAATGTTGATGTCACTCATGAAGTTCATTACTTGAGCTGTGTAAAACCAGTCGGGTGGTGTGGGCCTTTGTCTGCCCAAGTTTGGTGCAGGTAGTAACTCAGACCGTTACCACATTCAGGGCTTAGGAATGGAGCACAAATCTAACAGACAATCTTCTGCACCTTGTAGGAAATCAGGGTTGACAGAGCCATGTGGAATGTCAATTTTCCACTACCAATTTTGTCTCTTACACCATAAGCACTTGTCAACAGATACAAGCTATTTGTTGGATACATGCTCTTTGTGACGATACAAAATAGTCTGAAGTGTCAAAAATTGGATCTGATTTAAAGATAAAGTGAAACATGAAAATCTCAATGTATGGAGGACAACCTGTGTCATCCCTATATACAAGTACTATACCGTACTTAGTGATCAAAGCCATCCTTCAAATGTCAGACTTTAGTCTACCATTTAGGGAATACTGGTTACTTTAAAGTGATAGACACCTAACCCAGACTGGCCCTTAAAATATAGGGAAGGGTTGGCCTAAACCACACTATGTGTGTACTGCATAAAAATGTTGATGTCACTCATGAAGTTCATTACTTGAGCTGTGTAAAACCAGTCGGGTGGTGTGGGCCTTTGTCTGCCCAAGTTTGGTGCAGGTAGTAACTCAGACCCGTTACCACATTCAGGGCTTAGGAATGGAGCACAAATCTAACAGACAATCTTCTGCACCTTGTAGGAAATCAGGGTTGACAGAGCCATGTGGAATGTCAATTTTCCACTACCAATTTTGTCTCTTACACCATAAGCACTTGTCAACAGCTAGACATCTACTGTTGCTTAGGACCCAGGACTTTGACACTCTTTACCTCTGCTATCCACGACAAGCACCAGTACAAACACAAATTCTTGGTTGGCAAGAGATACGTGACTGACAGCAGAGGTTTTCATTGCTGTTGTCAGGTGGTGATAAAGCCTTCAGACAAGTAGCTATGTTCCAGAGAGAAATTCTCCTAGATATACCATAGCATGTGGTGTTAATGCGGAAAATTAATGAAATTTCACGGGATATAATTTTAGTGGCTTTTCATTCTGCTGAAAGGTCTGCGTATGTAACATTAAAGAGCAAACCCTCGGCGAACTGCGCATGCTCGATATTGCTAAATTGATGGACTGGGCTATTTGTACCCCGCTAGTATATAGCTCGCGGAGACTCTGACACGGGCTATATAGCTACAGTATGTAGTAGATAGCATGTGGGAGTCGATACATGCCATTCGTTGTGACTTCCTGAGCCCCCAAAGTACACAGAGCGAGCGGATCAGGCCCCAGTGCGATTATGCATATTGACTTTTGCGCTTGTTTGCACACTATCTCTCTATCTCTCGAACGAAGTCTTTTCAGGAAAATCGCCCTTTTAGTTTTCAGGCTCGCGTAGTTCTGAAGCTGCTGGTATATCGCTAATGGGCCGTCTCGTAGCCTGTAGTGCCAGAATAAGCGTCGACACACACACACACACAGACAGGCAAACCAACTACGTAACCCTCTGCGCATGCGCGCAGAGGGTTGATTAGTCCTGCAAAGCCAATTATCCTCAAGAGGAACTTTAGTGCCACCTCGACCACACACACTGTTACATCATCTTATGGTGAGAGAGTGACTATAAAAGAGAGCTTAGCAATCAGTCGGTATCTGCAGTCAGTGGAACAAAATCTGCTGAAATGTGGACTACGCTACTTTTTGCAGGTGCAGCTCTGCTTGCAGCAGTAACATCTCCAGCTGAAAGTAACCCAACCTATCAAGAGAAAGGAGATTGCGAGGTGATTAATGTCAACTAAGCACCGTAGTTTTACTTCACTGAGTTACCTCAGATTCTGTGCATCCCGCTCCCGATCACACATCTGTTAGATTTATCCTTTTTACTGTGTTTTTCCACAGGCAACACACGAGCATCTGTACAAGTACACTGCCAAGGAGGAATACTTTGGAGACGAATATGCTCAAACGTTTGAGATAACCATGCACTTCAAAGTTTACTGCTTATCTGGTATGAATTGCTATAATTATGATGCAAAAAATGACAGTGATTATAAAGTGCAGTATATATTTTTTGCAGTTGGAATGTACGGAGACAAGCGAGCGAAAGAGTATGAGTTAAATGTCACCAAGGCAGAAGTTGGCGGAACCATACTGGACAGGGAGGAAACTGAGGAACAACAAGCACAGCAAGATTACAATGTCCTTCTGCAAGGATGGTTCCACTTTGTTCAGACGGAAGATGGATCAATTCCAATCATCCGTCATTCTATAGAGGAAGATGGAGAGGTTATCAACACGAAAAAGGCAATTGTTGCAACGTTCCAGGCAAACTTCGTGGGAACAGAACAAAAGGAAGAAGCTGATCCCCAGTCAATGCATACATCTCACTACACGTACGTTTGCTGGCCAAAAAAATGTGAAAGGCTCTGAGAAAACGACCCTTACCACGCACGTATATGTAGTAGCGCGCGGTGGTTCTGCGGCGAACTACGTTATTCACCGATTCCCGTTTCCCCCCGTATTCTAGTACCTCTGCGCAAGCTTGACGCACTAACTCCGTTCCGTTCCGCCCTGGGTATCAGGCAAGTATATACCGTTACTCGTGTCGTCGTTACGCGGAGTTACAAGGAAACGTAACACGGGAATAATCAAACCTTTTACGGAGTCACGTAAACGGGAATTCCCCTTTACTACGTTTACCTAGCGGCGTAAATGCGGCTGGATGCACGCGCGCGCGGAATGTTGACTTGTTACGAGGTTGAAATTTGACACCGGAAGAACTTTAGACGCGATTTTTCAGGTTGATGCAGCGGAATGGCGCTTGTGCACGTAACGAACAGGCACGCCCCTGAAACAAGCGGCAAACTATAGAGGACTTTCGGTCTAGCGTACAAACATATTTTGCGTTTTTTACGTCATAAGGGTCGTTTTCTCAGAGCCTGTAACAAATACTAGCCCAAACCAATATGTGCACGCATGCAAAACTTACGCCATTGGCATATTAGCTATACCCTTTTGCGCCATTCACTCATTTTGCGAATTTCCCGTGAGAAATTCCTAACTTCCTTTATATGCAGTTCCATCCTATCATTATCCACTATAGGTACGAGGCAAGTGCACAAGATGTGGAAAATGGCGTTCTTCGAATGCATCGCACGGTAAATTCGGATGATGTTACAGGCTACACCTCTCATGTACCTGGAGCAGAGGTAGAATTGAGAAAAAGAGAGGACATTACATACAAAAGGGGAACTCTCTATCGTGCAGGTGGAACAACAATTGTAAAACTCTTGGGCAAGGTATAGTTATTGTCGTAAATAATGTGCCTTGACCAGCAGGAGTGGGGAGGGGCCTAGGCTCCAAACCACGAATGTCTCAGCAGCACATACCAGTGGCAAAGCCTTGTGGGGATGAATCTCATTAGTTCAGAACCACAAGTGCTGCGCTCCTGGTAACCTTTATAAACTCGTGATGCCAGAGAGAGAAGTTGGGGTATGCTCTGCTGATGAGAGCCAACAAGCCCGAAACAGCTGCCCAGAGCTCCACATCTTTTTCTCTTGGCATCACATGGTCTAATACCTTCATGTGTGATAAAACAATGGCACTGCACAAAGAGCCTTAGATTGGTTAGAGTTTTCTCTTTAGAGCAGTGGTTCTACTACAGTAGGCAAGTGTTAATGTCCTATGAAAACTTTAAGCACAATGGCCTATGATAATGTTTACGGAAGGCTCAACGGCCTGTGCAAAATGTTTACGGAAGATTAGCAGAGGATCAGACCATCAGCTGTGCGACAAAAATCTTGTAGCTTAGTTGACTAATAGTAACTTTCAATGGAAAATTTTACAGAAGACGAGCGCAGGATACAGTAGCAGGTAAAATAACTCAGATCATCAACACAGCTGTGAAAATTTTGAAAACTGCATCTAGCATTGAGCATGTTGAAGAACATGCAGTAAACGAGCTGCTACTAAACATGGTACATAAATGTGCCTGTATAATTATATATACCCAGGAGGGAAAAGTATTAGAATAGCTACCACTGTTTTACAAATGGATACCTACCAAGTACCGTACACTAAATGCAGTCGTTAATTTTGTTGCTCACATTGTGGCATGATATGTGCATATTATTATTAAGGCTCCAAAAGACGATGTAGAGGAGGATAATCTCGAGGCAATGACAAGAGGGAAGAGGCACGATGCATCAGAAATGACTTCTGCTGGTGACCCTGATGAAATCAAATCTTTCAATCCTGATATAAAGACAAATCACTATGAGTCAAAAGGGACATACACATGTGAGCTGGTGGGTGAGCAACGTCGTCTTCTGCGTCGGAGGAGAAGTGACAACAGCATCAGACTAGGGGAACATGTGGAAAACTCGCTCTTGGCATTCATAAATAAAAGTAAGTCCATTGGTACAATTAAGCTGCACCAGCATTAAACTGTCCACTGATAAGAATCTATATCAGTAAGTTTAAAGAGTCAAAACATTAGTAGAATAGTTTGCAGCAGGAAACTGGATAGCATAAAGAATACTCGTTTAGGCTTGCTCCTGATGAACTCCATCTAACAAGTGCAGCTATACTTTAGTCCAAAACTTCGATTCTCAGTATAATTTCAGAACAGAAAGCCTTCAACTCTGCAAGAGACAATTATATACTGATACTATTATTAGCTATATTCATCAAGAGTTTTATGCCCAAATAATATTTCAGCTCGCAAAGCAATGGAGAAGATGTTTGATTTACGTCATGAACTTGGGGGCGACGTGAAACATTCGTTGGTGGAGCTACACAAAAACACAAACAACACTGAGATCGGTATGCCTCAAATGTTATATGAAAGCACTGAATGTACACAGGACTATTCTAACCCAACAGCGCACAAGATTGAAAGTCTGGTGAAGCTAGAAGCAGAGTATGGACCACTACCACAATATTCCCCAGCCATTGACGATGTATTGGATTGTCTGAAAGAGGTACACGTATCCATAATAATTATGCTATTTGAATTTTATACATTATCATATCTGTCCATGTAGCTTCATGGATCAATTGTCCGCAAGGACATCAAGATGAGGTTACTTCTATACTTCATCATCAGTCCTGAAGGAAGTCTAAGATCACAAATGGTACGTAGCAAAACCTCTTTGGCTTGCAGTTGTAATTATGTGTATGTATAGGCTCTGCTGAATGCCCTGGAAACTGCAGCCAATGACGATGAATTGGAAGCCATTGTCATGTACATAGCCATGCTGGCTAATCCGCAGCCTCAAATGGTCAACGAACTCGAGAAACTCATATCGTCTGACGTTCACTCCACTGACCAACTCCTCTTGGCTTACGGCGTCATCATTCCCAAAACCTCTCCAGAACTCCACCAGCGAATGGTTCTCTTTCTCGTCGATCGACTCCCAGAGGCCGAGACGAATACCACGTCACTCCTTCACCACATTCTCTCTCTCGGAAACTCTGGCTCCCCCAGCATCTCCAGCTACCTCATTGACTATCTCAACCACCCGGAGAGCAACGTTCAACTGACAGCCATTCTCGCTATGAGGTTTCTAATGCGTGAGCCTTCCATCCAGAAATCTCTGAAAGACCTACTCGCAAAGCCACACGTGAACGAAGATCACCTGACTGTGATAGCCAAGTCTCTAGTGTATGGATGTGAACGAGCAAAGATTAACTTTGAGGAAGCTCCTTTCTCCAACGACTTTGCTGAGGCTCTAGTAGCACTAGCTATGAACATTCCCAATGAAGAACTGCACTCAGCTCTTTCTGAATATTTGAAAGGTGTCAACACACCAGAGTCCATCGAACTACTTCAGATCTTAAAGTTTCACCGAAATCCAGATTTTTTCGAAGACAAAACAAACACAACACGCTTCCGAAGAGGATCGAAATGGGATAAAAGCAATCCAGACTACGACATTGTTTCACCGCTCTCAGTGCGTCGGAAAGACGTTCAAACGTACCAGAATAGACTCGCATTCATCTGGGGTAAAAAGTTTGGTGGAGGTGATATAAATGCCCAAGTTGGGGCAGGTGGATTTGTTGGAATAGCCAACAGCGGTGACTACAAGCTATTTGGAAATGCCGTAGCTAGAGCTAACTTCTACGATCGCTCACTTACCATCCTGCAGTTTTTGATCCTGCGTGAGAAGGACTCCAGCTCAACGGAGAGTTGGTTTTATGCCGTCGTAATGGGGAACACTCTGAGGAACATTCGGCTATCCGAAGACGCCAGTGTTTGCAAAACTCTCGATCACTCGCTCCACGAAGGAAAAGAGTACACTATTTTCGACTTTACATTCAGCATCTTTGTGGTGGTTGGCACCCTCAACTTTAACCTCAAGGCAACGATACAGTTTACGTCTGGGATGTACATAGAGTTTTGTGAGAACCACGGAAGTCTGAGTGTTGGTGCTGGACTCAAACCTACCCTGACTATAAAGGTTTCGGCCGGTGGTGACCTGGAGATTTTAGTAAGCATTCCTACTAATATAGTATCTTGTGTGAGCCACAATCAACGATCAATATGTACATGTTTGCCATAAAGTATAGCAATAATGTCCAAATGCATTGCTGTTGTCTGGAGCATGCATACACTTGAGTCAGTGTGCACACATCTGAAGAAGTAGGCAAGAAGTACAAGTAGGATACAGAATTTTTAATTTGTGTGTTAGTCTTGATATTATGCATGTTTACTTTAAAAGTAGATTTAGAACTTTGTGTAAGTACAAGTATATAAGGCACAGAATTTTTTTGTATAAACTTGTGCACATTTACTTCCAAATATAGGTTACACTATGCCCACGAGATGGTTTAGTGCATACACTACTCGTGCTGTCCACTGTCCACTAAACCGTCTCGTGGGCATAGTGTAACCAATTTGTACCACAGGAATGCACACTAAGACAACTTATTAGTATGCATGCCATGGTGTATGAGATCTCATACACCACATGTGAGTGTATGGCTGTGTCAGCACACCATACACCATGGCATGCATACTAATAAGTTGTCTTAGTGCGTATACACTGCGTGCGGTGCCTTTGATTTCTAGGGCTTCTGTGGTACAAGTAGATTTAGAACTTGGTATTGATAAATGTACTTTTTTAGTGGGTGGCCAAAGCCGGTCTCACACTGACGGCGACATTCAACTACCAAGTTTTGCCAGAAGTCTCCAGCGAGCTGTGCTACAAAGAGTCACAGATAAGAGTGAAGAACTGCATCGGAGTCTACCACCAGTGGGCAGACAATACACTCGAGCTGTACGCGTGGTATGCCTGGAGAGGACGGTGCGGTTGGTGGGTAAGTCAGTTGAAACTTTTCTTAGGTTACTGATACAGTTCTCAGCTTCAAGTGTACGTTGTTACCAACCTTGAACAAGGGGCGAAAGATTTTAGTATTATGCTGCACTAAAGAGAACATGCACTGTTGTGACCGTGTTGTTTCCCATCTTCAGGTCTGCACTGGTAGGGATGCTTACAAGAATAGGAAAAAGATAAGTGCTCTCTCTATCTCATGGGATCTTCCCGGATCAGACAAACTGACCCTGTGGAAGACCTGCGACCAGCAACATGAATGCTAAGCACAGAGGGAAAAGACGTGACATTACATTGCGTCTATTGTAGAAGTAGAAAGATAGTCAGGATAGGTTTTGTAAGAGATTTTTCTCAATACTCGACATGATATTGATCATAACACGTCAGATAAATGTAGTGCCAGAATAAGCGTCGACACACAGACAGACAGACAGACAGACAGACAAACCAACTACCGTAACCCTCGCTGCGCATGCGCGCCGAGGGTTAATAATAGTTAAACACGGTGGAATTTATATTGTCCTATTATAATCTAATCTAATCTCACTCAAACAGCAATCAACCTGGGACAGTACAGGCAAAATGTCTTGAACATGTGGGTCCCTAGTTCGAGATGACGAAAAATGAACCCTTTTAAAATGAGCACCTAAAGTGTGGTTTGGTTCCTTGAGTCATGATTCTAGAAACAGCAAGATTCTTGAGTAAGTGTTTTAAGTTGTACAGTGTAATCAGCAGATTAAGTGGCTCAATTGCACAGCAAATGGAAGCACTGTTACAGAAAAGTCTCAAATGGAATGCAGGCTTTAAGAAAAGTTGCAACTATGAGTGCAGCCTTCAGAAACGGTCTCAACTTTGAGTGCAGTTTACTAAGTGATACATGTCTTGAATATCAGTTGAGCAGGTATAAAAGAGGAACGCCGGATTAAGTATCAAAAGAGGGTTTTAATTCAACTGAAGTGTTATGGGAAAAACAGGGTATTTTTGTAGATCCCCAAGATTTTTGCACTTTTCAGTACCATACACTCAAGATATCAAACTTAATCACAAGAGTCAAAAGTGAAGTCTTCAGCACGAGTGGTGTTTTACCCAGCACTGAGCCCACGGCTTACCCAGCGTTGAGTCCTGAATTGCTTCTTCATTTGAAGGGTGCATCCATCAGTGAGTCCCAGGTTTGAAAATTCTCCTCCATACCCAATGTTGAATCCTTACATAAGCCACAGCTGAGTCCCAAGTTCTCTTCCGCACCCACTGTTGAGTCCCAAGTTCTCTTCGTAGCTCTAACATGTGGCCGCAATGCTATATGTGTACTAGATGGCGAGGATCTCTGTTTGAGTGCCTTTACATCTCTGTCAGAGTAAACTGTATCTTCCTTGCATTGTGCTAGCCTTACTCTGTGTCAAATTGTTGTAAATATCCTACTGGTTATCCCCGTGGTACCGTTCAAACCCTATTTGAAAGTACATGAAAATATGTAAGCCCAACACGTGGCTTACCCTGGAACCTGGGACTCAAATGTGAGTCCAACACGTGGCTTACCCTGAACCTGGGACTCAACCCAGAGTTCAATGTATAGCTGTAGTAAGACATGTTCTTTTGGACTGAAAGTGTTACAATTTTCTTTGAAAAAGTAAGTAAACAAACACGAAGCACTCAAGAATTTTAAAGACTAGGGGCAAATTCTTGAGTACAGGTGTCTTATTTTTCTAAATTCTTGAGTATAGACCCCAACAATTCCCCTTGCAGAAGAATATTGATTTTAAATGGGGGCTATTAGCGTTAGTTTTCTTGGGACGTTTCCCCACAAATACCATAGTTTTTATGTAAAAAAATACATTACAAAAGGACAAAATTTTTTCCATTGTGTTGCGGTCCCTTTATGCGGTCAAATTGCATAGAACTATGTCAATAAAGGCGCATTGCGTCTCAGACTGATGGCAAAAGAGAGTATCCAGCGAAACGGAAGGCAGGGCATGCACACAGTTACCCTCGGCGCGCATGCTCAGCGAGGGTACGGTAGTTGGTTTGTGTGTCTGTCTGTCTGTTACTCAACATCTCACTTCTCGAATGTTTGTTCCTCTCACAAACGATACTACCTACTTAACGGGCAATGAAGGTCAGAAAATTTGTGCGGTTTTCTCTGAAAATGCTCTGTTGCAAAGCTAGAGCGCTTTCGCCATTGTACGGCTATCGCCATTTTATCGCTGCGGAAAATGCGCATGCGCATTATATTCGACCACGTGGTGGAAAGTGGCCATTTTGTTTCTCGTTCGGTGAGAAGACTTTTTCCAGTTCCGTGAGGCTATTTTACTATCATGCCTCCAAGTAAGGTAAAATCTTGCGAACATGTCTTTCGAGCAAAGAGAAAAGCAGAGCATAATTTGCCAGACAAAGCCATGAAACGCATGCGAGTCTTACAGTCAGATAGTGTCAAATCAGCTATGAAGGCTAAAGATAAGTTGCAAAAGGTCATTAAAAGAGCAAGTGAAACTAGCGAGCAAACTGTGCATAGACGAGAAAAAGACAGAAGCAACAAAGCAAGCATGAGAGCAAGTGAAACTAGCGAGCAAATTGTGCATAGACGAGAAAAAGACAGAAGCAACAAAGCAAGTATGAGAGCAAGTGAAACTAGCGAGCAAACTGTGCATAGACAACAGCAGAATATAAAGCACATGGCAAGCATGAGAGCAAGCAATGTGTCTGTACAACCAGCTATATGTCATTTCATTCTGATATCAAGAATGGACCAGATTTTGTTTGCACATGTTGCCACCGCCTCATGTATAGCAAGAGTGTTGTTCCATGTAACCTAGCTAAATATACTAAGTGCACCAACAACTTGCTAGAATGTGTGTTCAGTGCTGACCTCAGATATGTTAGTGATACTGGCAATGAGTGGGTGTGTAAGACATGTGACAGAGCATTGAAGCGAGGAATAATGCCATTGCAAGCTAAAGCTAATGGGTTACAGTTGTCTCAAATACCACCTGAGCTATCTGATCTAAATGCATTGGAACTAAGGCTAATTTGTCTACGTCTGCCTTTCATGAAAATGGTAGCATTGCCATCTGGTAAACAGAGATCAATCCATGGCCCAGCTGTCAATGTTCCTTCCAAAGTTGATACCATTTGTAACATGTTGCCAAGATTGCCATCACAGTCTGAATTAGTGCCACTGAAACTGAAGCGTAAACTAGCTTACCGAGGCCAAATGATGCTATTCAGCCTATTGTTGATTCGAAAAACAGTGTTGCTAATGTTGCATCCCCTAATAAGATTGCTATGGACTGTTCTGATAGTGATGATGCTCTCTTAACAGCTGTGCATAAGCTAGAAACAATAGCCAGTCAAAATGGTTTCACTATCCACGATGTGCTATTATGATGGTAACTGTATGTGTGCCTATCAACTAAACAGTACTAGCATATGTGATTTTGACAGCAATACATTGAGGCAAACAGTAGCTGACTACTTGGGAGCTAACAGAGCCTCATATTGCGATTTTTTGTGTCAGCCAGTAGCTCAAAATGATGACTCTAATGATGACTACTATAATGCAGACACTGAACCTCAAACACAAGAGGACAAGTATATTGACAGTATTGCAGACCCTGAATTGCAAACACAGCTTAGATGGCAAAAATATCTGACATGTCTAAAACAAGGTGCCTGGGGTGACAACATTGCTATGCAGGCTATATCTGATATGCTCAGTGTGACTATCAATGTACTGTCTAGCCACTATCCATGTATTCAGTAACTCCCAGAAACCATTGTGCTGATAATGAAGTGTTTGTTGGGCTGATAATGCAGTACCATTATGTGGGTTTGGACAAAATACCTGAACAGCCACAACCTACTATGCCAGCACAGCCTGAAACTATTGAACCACAGCCAGAATCTGTTGCTGATAATGAGCTAGATGATGCCACTATTGAAGAAGGAGATGAGCATAGAAGGCAAATCAGTGGTGCCCCAGCAAGCTAGCATGATGTGTGTTGAAAACCCTGAAAGCTTTAGACATACCATGTGTGTTGCACCAGCTGAAGGAGAGAGACCACTAAACATAATGACTGATCTTACTTTTGAAGCCATGTCAAACCCAGGCAAATTTCCATATGGTACTGGCACATTTAGCAGTGATCGGCCAAGAAAGCTAACCTATAGAAAGTATTTCAATCAAAGGCTATTGGATGTTGATGGCAGATTTGCTAGAGACCTTGATTATCTGTTTGTTGCACAGTATATTGCTGAGGCTAAGCAAGTGGTAGATGATGGTAATAACTTTGCCATGAGACAAAAGCCATGTAGACAGTTCACAGCTGCACAAGCTAAAGACCAAACAATACTAGGTCAGTATGTGCGAAAAGACAAAGCTTACTCATTTATGAAAAACATACGTGGCTCCCCACCATATTACCAGCGAACATTTTATGATTTGCTAGCCATGATACGCCAGCTTGGCACACCAACATGGTTTTTCACATTGTCAGCAGCAGACCTCAAGTGGCCAGATATGATCCAAACCATTGCAAAGCAGTATGGTGTGTATTACACTGATGATGATGTAGCTGCACTTTCATTTGATGACAAATCCAACTGGCTAAAGCGTAACCCAGTTACTGCAGCTAGACACTTCCAATACAGACTGAATTCACTTTTCCAAGGTTTTCTGAAGTGCACTGCTAAGCCACTAGATGAAATTGTTGACTATGCTATCAGAATTGAGTTCCAAGCTAGAGGTTCACCACATGCACATTGTGTCATATGGGTCAAAGATGCTCCAGAGTTTGGCGTTGATAACAATGATGATGTGTGTGACTTTATTGACCAGTATGTCTCATGTAAACTGCCTAACGAGAATGACAAACTAAAAGATTTGGTATCGCTACTACAACAGCATAAGCATTCTTCCTATTGCAAGAGAAACAAAACTTGCCGTTTCAGTTTCCCTAAGCCACCTAGCCCAAAAACCCTCATAACCAAATTTGACCCTGAAAACGCTGATGTTGAACATTCTGGAACTGTGTTGAAAAAAGTGCAAAAGCTGATATCTGAGGATAACACTCATCTAAGCCTTACTGAGCTACTTGATAAAGCAGATGTAACTGAAACTGAGTATGTCGATGCATTAGAAACCTCTTGTACTGGAAATATTGTTGTACTCCAGCGTGAACCTCATGAATGTTGCATTAACAACTATAATTCTTCAGTAATGCTAGCATGGCAAGCTAACATGGACATTCAGTTTGTGCTAAATGCATATGCCTGCATCATGTACGTTGCCTCATATATCATGAAAAGTGAGAGATCTATGGGAGAACTACTTAAGCGAGTTGCTGCTGAAGCTAGAACAGATGAGTTGAGAACCCAGTTGAGAAAAGTTGGCTCAGCA